TTTCATATTGTTAAATGGACTTTTATATCATTCTAATTAACATCGTATGGTTCAGTATTGTGTCAAATGTTGCCCACTCGGCATCCATTGCAGCCTGGTCATCCTGGAAGGGGGATTCTCCCATCTGTGTCCTCTTCTCAAGGTTTCTCATTTTTCCCCAAATTTGTTTTTTTTTTTTTTGTTTTTTTTTGTTTTTCAATGCCGTCCTGGGAGTTAAGGTCAGGGTATGTGAAGTCCTTTGAGACTTTTTGTGAGTAAGGGCTATTTAAATAAATGTAACTTGACTTGTACATTCTCCTTCAGGATTTTCTGCTCGACAGCAAAATTCACTGTCCCATCAATCACAGCAAGTTGTCCTGGCCCTGAGGTAGCAAAGCAGCCACAGACCATCACAGTGCCACGACCAAGCTTCACTCTTGGCAAAGTGTTCTTTTTATCAAATGCTGTGCCATTTTTACCCCAGATGTAATGGGCTACACATCTTCCAAAGGTTCGATTTTTGACTCATCAATCCACAGAATGTTTTTCCAAAAGTTTTAAGGATCATCAAGATGTATTTTGGCAAATGTGAGAGGAGCCTTTATGTTCTTTTTGGCCATCAGTGGTTTTTGCCTGTGAATTCTCCCATGCATGCCATTTTTGGCCAGTGTCTTTCTCTTGGTAGAGTTGTGAACACTGACCTGAAATGAGGCCAGTGAGGTCTGGAGTTCTTTGGGTGTTGTTCTAAATTCATTTGCAACCTCCTGGATGAATTGTCTTCGCACTCTTGGGGTAATTTTAGCCGGTCGGCCACTCCAGGGAATGTTTGCCACTGTTCCCAGTTTCATCTATTTGTAAATAATTGCTCTGACATTGGTTTGCTGAAGCCGCAGAGTCTTGGAAGTGGCTTTGGAACCTTTACCAGACTGATAGATTTCAATAACTTTTTTTTCTCATTCATCTTGAATTTCTTCAGATCATGGCATGATGTGTTTTTTTTCTTGAGATCTTGTAGCCTACTTCACTTTGTCTGACAGATTCTGACAGGTTTATGTGATTTTGATTCAACAAATGTGGTGCTGGGGTCTTGCCTGTGAAATGGAACTCAGCTTTCCCCAAACTGTCGTTCATCAGTTACTTTGTGATTTAACAAGAAGGGGCAAATACTGTTTCACATATGGGCAGGTAGTATTGGACTTTTTTGTGCCTTAATAAATTAATGTGGCATTTAGAAATATATATACATATATATATATATA